AGGAGGGAGGAGGGAGGAGGGAGGAGGGAGGAGTGGAGGAGTGAAGGAGGGAGGAGTGGAGGAGAGGGAGCGGGAAGCTGGGCGGAGTAGTGAGCATGAGGGTGGAAAAGGGGGAGGGAGGATTGAGAGAGATAAATCTCCTATTTCACACAAGTCATGTCCGGAATGCAACTATCCAGTAACATAGTGTGCTTTATTCATGTGCCTTCAAGCGTGCGCCCTTGATTCTTATTGACGTATGTGTTCCTTCAGCCATCACTGTCAAGCTGTTCAAAGCAAGTGGGTCTCTGTGTGTGCGCGCGTGAGTGAGGGTGAGTACAGTCGATTTGGTTCTACTTGTGCGTTTGTGTGTGTTTATGTGGTGTGTCTTTGTGTGGTGTGTCTTTGTGTGTGTGTGTTTGTGTCGGAATTTGTGTGAGTGTGTGTGAGTGTGTTTGTGCATGTTTGTGTGTGTTTGCGTGAGTGAGTGTGATTGTGAGTGTGTGTGTGTGTGTGTGTGTGAGGGTTTGTGTGAGTGAATGTGAGTGGGTTTATGTGTGTGTGTGTGTGTGTGTGTGTGTGTGTGTGTGTGTGTTTGTGTGCCGCACGCGCGCACGTGTGCTTGAGTAAGGGTGTGTACATCGGATTTGGTTCCATTTGTGCTTGCGTACGTTATGGTAGGTAATGAAGATTTGTTTCAATTTGTGTGTGCGTGAGTGCAAGTACAGGAGATTTACGCGTACGTGGGTGGTAGTACATAAAATCTGCTAACATCAATTGTGTGTGCGTACATAAAAAGAGATTGCTTCCATGTATGAGTTTACATATGTGTAGGAATGAATGCAGTGGATTTGTTTACATGTGTGTGTAGGAGTGAATGCATTAGATTTGTTAACATGTGTATTGGAATGAATGCAGTGGATTTGTTAACGTGCGTGTGTGCGTGTGTGCGCGTGTGTGTGTGTGTGTGTGTTTGTGTGTGTGTGTGTGTGTGTGTGTGTGCCTGGACAAAATGATGGTAGTAAGGTATTATAACGGTACGACACCTAGTATTTATATGAATACACTTTAACGGGTACATGATGTAGGCTCTATAATATAGCCAGTGCAAGTAATGTAGGCAAATCTATAATTACATATTTATATTTAGATGTGTGTGTATGTATGTGTGTGTGTGTGTGTGTGTGTGTGTATGTGTCTGTCTGTGTAATTTGGTTTACCTACACCACTTATACTGGCTCATTCAGTCGGGATTCTGTTCTCACAATTTATAGAAATATTAAAGCAATCCTGAGCAAAAACAAACAAACAAACAAAATTTATGACAAACCAGAATTTTAAAGTTTCTGAAGTACTGTAAGAAACAGAAATTTTACAAAGTGAAATATATGTGGAATATAAGAGAGGTTTCATTCACCTTGTGGACAGTGTTAGAGCAGCTACAAGACCACCCCAACCCAATACACAAAGTAAGGATTACATTATAAAGATAAAAGAGTGCAAGAGTATTCCAGAAACCTATATAGGAGATGACAGGAGAAGACAGAATGGAAAAAACCCATAAAAAGACAAAGACAGGATGAGAGATTGAAAGAGAAAGGGAGGGGAGAAGGGGAGAAGAAAAGAGACGGAGAGTTTGAAAGTGAGAGAGAGAAAAAAGAAAAAAAGAGGTGGTTTGGGGAAGGGGGGGCATGTAAAAAGATGTTAGTCAAAGAGAGGTGCAGAAAAGCCAAATCTGAAACACAAGTGCAGCAAAGAGGAAGAGTCAAAAAGGAGGGAGAGAAAGAGAGAGAAAAGAAAGGAGGGGGGTGGAGAGATAGAAAAAGGGATAGAGAGACAGAGAGAATAAAAGAGAGGTGGAAGGGGACAGGGAGACAAAGAAGAAAATATGACAGAAAGAGAGTGAGAGATTGAGAGAAAAGGGAGAATATAAAGATATAAAGATATGCGGACAAAGAGACAGAGAATCAAACACACAGATGGAGAGGAGAACAGAGAAAGGATTGATGAAAGTGCAAAACCTTGATGAGAGTATGAGAGAAACTGATATTTTCTGACTGCATAAAATGAAAGCAGTTGAAGCAGAACACTCACTTGCAAAAAAATAAAATAGTGGTAGCATTACAACAGCGAAAACAGATGTTATGCAAAAGAAAACTATGAAACGAAAAATGATCACATCTCAAGTATGCATTTGTCTTCTATAAATGCAATCTTTCCTTTCATAGGATAATGAAGATGCATGTGTGCCTACATACATAAACTGTATGTATCTACACATGAGCCCCATCCTGTTCTTTTCTTTCGGTAAAGAGAAGCAAATTGACATAATAAAGATCATGAAGAACTTTGAATAAAGCAACGTGGACAGACAGACAAAAAGAGAAGAACAATACAGAAGCAGGATCTATCAGTAACATCCACCAACCACTTTTCCACCTGTACATACACACGTGAAATGCTAAAACACAGGCACATCCCCTTCCCTCTCAATCTCCTACTCCTTTTTTTTTCTTTCAATATACTGATATTTATAGAATATCAAAGGATGATAAGATTTTCAATTCTGAAGGTTTTCTCTTCCCTTTCCTCTTTTCATTAATCTCTGCCCACACAATTCTTTCTTTGATGTCCAATTTAATATTTTTCTCCTGTGACAAATTACCTGAAGTTGAAAGCGCAATTCATTTCTTAAGAGTTTTGTAAAAAAAAAAAAAAAAGTAGCTGCACATAGGCCTACTACAATATCAGTACTATAACAACATCAAAGGTGGCAACATGGAAAAGCAGAAAAAGTGTACAACCATACAATAACATTGAACATTGTATCAAAAGTTCAAGGTAATTGAGAAGAGAAAGATACTTTTTTGAAAACAGAAAAAATCAACTGTTAACACCTTGGAGGGCAATTCAGTCTTGACTGGACGCCAATTTTTGTGAACTGGGTGCTTTTAGAGACACTTTTTATCAACACAATAATGATAAAAGAGTTGTGTGACTATAAGTCTTCATTTATCTACAGTGTAAACATTTTTTTTCTTCTATTTATTCAGCCTAAGACAGAAAAAGGTACAATGCATGTATGTAAGATAAGATAAGATGATACTTTATTGTCTAGTGGGAAATATAAGGCTGCTCCACTGTACAGTCTGTGCTAGTAATGCACGTTAGGTATACCTTCAGCAGCATTTCAGTTTCTCCTTTCCTCTATGTTTATTATTAATGGCACAAGAAAACAACTTGCATTGGAGCTCTGAGACAAATTTGTCATAAGGTACGATATGAGATGTAAGGTTTGATGAAAGACTTTATACTTCAGATGCTCCACTGAAAGCAATGAGAAACCTGCTCATGATATTTCTACTTGTTGTGAAAATATGTTTTTAGAAAAATGGTAAAAAATTGCAAAATGCAAAAATCTTATTCTTTTACACAGCTATAAAACTTTTATCTTGAGTTTTTTCAATTGGATGACTAATTACATTGCTTTCTTGATATCATGCAAAATTCAAAACCAATGCTTTGTAATTTATTGAAAAAGAAATGTTAGTATCCAAAAGCCAACAAATTTAATTAGTCTGCTTCGAAATCTACAGAAGACCTATAATATTAATTCAATTAAATCTAATTCTTTTTTAGACGTCTTTGTTCAAAGAGAATCTATCTAAGATAATCCCAACAACTTACAGCATCTCAGCAGCTTCCACATCGCGGAATACACTATTAGTACTGTGCTCCATCTGGTTAAAGGTTCGAATCTTTGGGAAATCTCCTTTCCCGGTATGAGCCTCCAACATCTTCTGCCTGTAGGCAGCGTGGGCATCTTTCCTGTACTGAGCTCTGGTGAGACACAGACACAGAGAAATAGAGACGGTGAAATTGAGAAAAATAAGGATTGAAATCATCACCTCAAATCAACATCAATGAAACTTCAAAAACACATTTTTTGGCATGTACACTGTGTTTTCGTAGTTTTGATTCTCTGAAACAAATTAATGGAATTAGTATCAGGTAGCTTTTTTTTAACAATGTTCATTGTATATTGACTGTAAGTCAATCTTAAATTTTTTCCTTTAACATCAATGGCGATGGGTCTAATGTGCTCTAGTCAGGCTCTGCACTGTAGGATATACCATACATTAGTCTGATTTCCACATAGGGAAGTTATAAATTTTATCAAGTATCTCAATCTGTCTGCTGGGATGCTGTATCCCCCTCAGCCTGGGCTAGCACTGATAAGCAGGGTCACAGCAGTCCACTTCATAAATGGTCTACACTGTGTCGATGTTGGCATCAAATATTTACAATGAAATTACAAGAACAGCTGAGCTGATTTCAACACCCAAGATTATTGTGAAGATATAGTACGAGTATCCGTGAATACAAATTTTTGCACATTTCATACTATTCTGAAATTTGTTTTAATCCAAGAGAAAAATAACGTTTAACTCCTTTGTTGCTTCCTTAGTAAAGTTTTATGCTCATGGTAACCAAAAACTTTTCTCTAAAAAACAAAGGGTGTTTCTCTTAAATTGAAAGTCACTAGAACAAATAGCATTTTTTAAAGTAACATAAAGTCTTAGCATATATATTAAAAAAAAAAAATATATATATCTATTGCTCCCAAATTAAAATCATCAAGAGTAAACACAGACAACTCCATTATGAAAATTGTGTTTTCAAAACCAACGACTTGTGCTGTTCTGAACAAACATCCCTGTACCAATGAGAGAAAATTCGGTAACGAGACATTTTTTTCTTATGTGGCTACCGTTTCGTTACAGTTGATGCTGAGGTAGAGGCAGTAGTAATACTTTATAAGGTTTTAAAGTTGGTTGTGGTGATTATTGTAAGCACCATTGCAATGGCTGTTAACAGATTAAAATCTAAAGAAAAACAACAATTTCACGTTAACACTTTTCCATCAGTTGGGTCTGAAAAGGTTTTTCCTTATCTGTCAATTGGATTTTTTAAAGTGACAAAGTTGTTTTGCCTTTTGCATTGTGACGTCAGTGCAATAATGTGCCGACTGACGAATACACAAACTTTTTGTTGGCGCAACTGATGGAAAAGTGTTAACTCATATTACTATCTAAAATTACACATGTTCATACACAAGTTCATAATTTGTTTCACCCTAAATTCAAGCACTCTTAAAAGTTAAAAAAAACAAAAAAACAACTTGTTCAGTCCACTGTGCATAGTCACTCCTGTCAGCAGTAGCACAAACAGAAATAAGATAACAAAGTGCAGAGTATTCGTCCTGCAACAACTTTCGAACTACACCGTGAATCAGATTCAACAAACCAATACAAAAGACGGGAATATAAAATAAAAATCAATATAGCGTTTACATTGCGTATATCTTCCAGGTAAGCCCTTTCAAATTTTTGTGAACTTTTAAGATAAACATTCAAAGTAATCCTCATCAGATATTAAAAATTCAGTAGATATTTGGTGCAGATTCACACAAAACAAAAACTGAAATGCAGAAATATGAGAGAAAATAAGTAAACAAAAGAAACTTTTGACTTTGGTGAAAAGTGAAAACTTGATGTGAAAAGTGAATCTTTGTTTACCAAGGAAAAACGTAACTGAGACACTGACATGCCAGAAGTTCAATACTTCAAAGAACACAATCCTCCACTCTTTTCAGGAAGAATTAATACAAACCGCATTTCTTCCTTTATTGGAAAGCAAGTAGAACAAAGAAAAGTTTACACAAACATATTTAATGCGAACTGTACACAAAGAATGATACACAATATATTCCACTGTAGCTGTTGAAAGAGAATGAGTCATTACATTTACCTATTTCGGAAATGATATTGATATACGTAACATACACATATAAATGTTCATTTCTCGACAGTTTCTGTAGAAGTGAGTAACAAGTAATTGCAAAGCCAATAACTGGCTAAACAGCACAAATTACTACTAAGACAATATTCACTACAGTGGACTAATTAAAATGGTTGCCTATTCCCTTGGGTTAAAACTGTGACAAAATCTTTACTTTGTTATCTCTTAACACCATATTTTTCTTTAACAATCAGCAGTATACGTTGAACGAACTCTTACAAAATTTTTGAATAATGATCAACTTTGCACTTTGAGCCTATGATATTTTGCTTACGAACTAAACGAACAAAACAATTTAAAAACCCTTACTGATTGGCAGCCACTTCAGCTTTGACCTGCTCCAAACTCATGAGAAAGAATCTCTCCAGCTCAGTCCTCTCGTCAAGAATGTTCTTAGCCAGTCGCTTCACTTTGTTCATCTCTCTCGTTTTGAGCTCGATGACCCTCTGTAGTTTGACAAGTTCAACTTTCCCAGCTTGGTTTTCTGTCTCTGATCGCTGGACGATAGACTTCTGTTCCGTTTCAAATTCTCGAACCACATGACTCAGAGACTTCTCCAGAGTTTTTATTTTATCACTCAGCTGGGAACAAGATCAAATGAACCAGATGAAAGTCATTCTAAGTTTAAGTTTTGGAAATGAACACTGAGCAAAAAACGTTACTTATAATTTTAAAACAGCAGTACTTGGATAAAGGAATTTAACTTAGAAAAACCAAATGAAAAAACGTGATTATGTCCCTTGTAATATACCCGGGGAGAGAGGTTAAAAATTTATCATGCCAATCATATTTTTGACAGGTGATATAAACAGAGACAGACCAGGTCAGCTAAGACAAACATATGGACATGACATGCATACAGAAACAAAGTCTAAGCAGACTAAAACAGTCAGTACAATAAAATGTTCTTGCTACAGAAGGTACAAAGTTTACAAATAAAAACATTAGAAGGAAAAAAAAAGGAGAAATATTCTTTTTTTCAGAAAATATTGCCAATGGCGAGTATGTAAAAGAAGAGAAAGAGTATCTGGCTTCAGTGGCGTAATGGTTTGGCACTTCGCTGTCACATGCAGGAGACCCAAGTTCAATTCCTGAGTGGGGGGAATTTCTATCAAGTATTTCGGTCTTTCTGCTCTGATTTTGTATCCCTCTCAGCATGGGTTGGCCCTGACAAGTAGGGTCAACCTTCGCCTCCTGTATTTTCTCAATTGGGTTGATGGGGGCATAAAACACCAACATCAGCATCATTTTAGCTATTACAACCGCTTTAAATACACTCAGGAACAACACAATTCACTGACCTCCTTGATGGTTTCTTTCTGCTGTTTGACCTGCACCACTTTGTCCTGCACCATCATGTCAGTTACTTCTTTCTCCTGCTTCAGGTTATCATTTTCCTCCTGAAGTCTGTCTCTCTCCTTTTTCAACAAGTCGCCTTCCTTCATGTGGTAGTTCAATGCTTCTGTCAAGCGTACGTTTTCTTTGTACACAGATTTTGTGGTCTCGTCCAGGTTTCTGTGTGGAAATACATGTACAACATGTACACCAAAGTGTGTAAAAGAATATTACAAATATCAGTTTCTGTAAGGTTGAAAGTGAATTGAAATATGAACTCCGCAGAATTTGATTTCTTCAGAATGATTACAATGAAGTGTAGTTTGAATAAACAGTATCAAATTATTTGAAAATACCTTACCTCTCAGTTCTGACTGATGTAATAGTTCACATTAATTCACAACTTGGCATATTTTACATAATAGGCCTATAACTTTTTTGTTTGTTTGTTTGACGTTCATTATACATTTTGATTCATGAATAATTAAGTATGTCTAATATTTTGCTGCAAGGTAGGCTACAAGAAAAATGACTAAAGAATAAGAGACTATCATTTCTTTTAACAAAGCTGACTCACGAAATGGCTTCTGTATGGGCTTTCTCGGCAAGCTCTGCTATTTTCTGGTTGGCCTCTTGTTGCAGTCGCATCTGAGAGCAAATAGTGGAAACCAAACTTTATTCAAGATTTTGCTTGATTGGAATTTGTGTCACGATGAGGTGGAATCAGGCGCTCGTCAGTTTTTGGGCATGTGGAGTTATTGGTATCATCTGAAAGCTGATTTATTTACCTTGGTTCATTTCAAATAAATATCCATTTATCTTGAATAGAACTCTAGATATCTGCAATTGAATGGAGGTGAGGTCGCCTAGTTTTGGTGTTGAAGTTAGTGAGAAAATGGTTGACAAAGTTTGGTAACTCCAATTGCTAAAGAGTCTTTCAAAACTGAAAGATGACACATTTTGTGCCTTTAATCAACATTTTTCAATAAAATTCAAATGGAAATGTGTTTAAATATGGACGTAAAAGCGGTTAAGCCAAAACAAAAAAATTAAATAAAATTGTCCAAACTCGCAGAAAAATGCCTGTTTCTCCGATTTTGGTATTTTGACGAGCGCCTGATTTCACCTCACATTTATTTTCTTGAAACAATATTTTGAAAGGCACAATCTGAGAAAAGAGCATACTGATAAACATGCACATTTCTATTATTAGTTCATTTTTTCAGTATTCTACAAATTCATTTCTTCAGACCACTCATATAATCAGCTTATGACATACCTTTTCTTCAAAGAATTTCTGCTCCATTCTCCCTAGGGTGGATTTGTGATCTCTGTTTGCCGTGTGCATCGCCTCTTTGATCTGGGATGTGAAGAAAACAAAAGACATAGTTATGGTCTTCAACTACAATGCAAAGCAAAAGAGTAAAAGGTAACAGAATCAAATAATGAGGAGAGTTAGCCTTTAGTTCTGACTGAACTGACAGCAAAGGCCGACAACAGATTATATGTGCACAAAAGCTTTACTTGAAGGTATAACATGTAAGCACATCTACATCTTGTCTCCTAGAAGACAAAGTCCAAAGGTGAAGACATGAGATTTAAGCAAATACTTACACTTTTTATTTGGAAATGCTGTTTACAGTTTTATATTTGGTTACTCAATAAATATCAAATAACGCTGGCACAGTCCACAAGACTGGAAATAGACCTGATAGGAGTTGATAGTACTCTTCCCTGGGTTCATTACATCACCAAAAACTTTACAGCTACAGAGGAGATGCAATAAAAACTGTCAATTTATGACAATGCTTAGGAAGGAAGAGCAGCAGCCAAAGGGATTCTGAATTAACACATTGTGAAACTTACTCATAATGTATGAAACACAAAATGAGAGCCAGTATTTTTTCTCCAAGTCTTCAAGAAGACAAAAGTAAAGCCCTTACGTCCTCCAGCTCCTTCTGCATCTGTCCTCTCTTCCGGCGGAATTCCTTCACCAGCTTGAGCTCGCTGTGCATGAGATCAACTTCCCGCATCTTCTCTCCTAGTTTCTCCTCCAGGTCATTGATCTGTTTGCTGAAGTCTTCCACAATGCCATCTTTCTCTTTGCGATGATCCTTTTTGAGATCTCTCATCTGTTGTTGTTGTCTCTCAATCTGATAAAGGAAAATAAATATGTTATTGATTCATTATCTCATAAACAAAGTAAGGACAACAGTTGTAGGAGTTCACTCATTGCAGCCACTTTTCCAAAGTGGCAAAACTGACAAAAAATCCACAACCCTGAATATAGTACAACATGTTGACAGTTACAATTACTTTTCCAGACCAGAAGAACTTGATAAAAGAGCTTGTGATTCTTTAACTGTTTTATTTCAGTAATCACAGTGGGATTAGAAAACTTTTGTATCTATTTTATTCAATAGAACAGTAATGCAACCCCCCCCCCAACAAATTAAAAAAAAAAAAAATGGTAACATCAAATTGAAAAATACTCTCCTACTTTGTTTGAAAGCAGACTTCACTGAAAAAACAAAGACCAAATAAATGGATGGAATGGAGAAGAAAGATTAATTGTGACAGACCAAACTAAATTCATCGCCTCAGAAGGAGTTGTATGTCTGCATGCAGCAAAAGTGGTGACAACACAAGATGCAATAAGTTAATTTAGTGTTCACTATCTCAATACACCTGAGAACTACAACATATAAATTGTGAAAGCTGCAGAGTTGGCCTACCATAGAAAACTACATGTTCACTCAACTATCAGCAAAACAGAGGATGAAAAAGTAAAAGTAAAAGTTGAGTATCTCACTAACTCTTTCACTACCGCTAGCCGTGTTTCACAGCTCGCCACTTCCTGCTTCAAAACCATACCTACTTTTGCAACAATCAAAACTGAAATTTCAGAGTGAAGAATGATCATTTATAGCAACATGTTGAAATATTTCATTATTTCCCCTTTATTTTCATATATAACAAATGTGGCTAATATTGAAAATAGAACTTAAAATCTTTAATTTGTTAGACGGTTGGCAGAATCAGAAAGTCGGTCACAGATAGGGCCTGGTTCAGATGAAGAAAACCCCTTGGTAGTGGAAGAGTTAAGTACCTACTGAAAACAAGATCAATGTCTTGAATTCATAAATGCTGTATATTATTTAATAAAAATTTTTTCCAGCCACCAACCTGTGAATCTTTATCCTGGTCTTGTTTCTTGAGGAAGGTAATGACATCGATTGTGTCCCGTTCCGTTTGGAACATCTGAGTTTGTAGAGCATCATTTTCAAGCATAAGCTTCTTGGCATTTTCTCTGTTGAGGGAACGGAAATTGATTAGACAACAGTCTCATTGAACTTGAATAACACAAAGCTAGAAAAATTACAGGGCATAGACCAGGAAGAAAAAAGGTAAAGATATAATAATATGTTCTTTATGAATTCCCAATTTCAATTTTCCATTTTCATTCAACCAATCTCCGAACTACTTTCAACACTGTTGCTATCCATACATCCTAAGATTGGGTTGACCAAAATGAGTCCCTCAGCCTCCAATTGATAAACCAAAAAGAAACAAAAACAGAAAAAAAATGGCCTTTAGTAAAACTCAGTGTGGTGACATCAACAGTATTATATATGCCCAAAGATTGTTCTAAAAGAACTTCTATTTAAAAATGCAACAAAAATTAAATTACTTCATCTACACCAGTCCCCAGATACTATTCATGGTGCACAAACTCCTGAGGACACCTTCTAAATTATAATACTTGATGCACATCCAATTTCAAAATCATTATGGCAAGAGGTGGGAATTGCACTATTAAGCCTAAATCCATGCTGTATTTCTCACAAAACCAGCAACCAAAAATATAGAAGCTTAAATTGAGCCATAAATTTAAAGAGCTTGTTTTGGATATACTGTTACCTGAAATCTTGTTTAGACTTCTCGGCAATATCCAGTTTAGCTTCCCATACTTTAGCATTGGCTGTTGCAAGGGCTACAACAGATTCCTTCTTTCCTCCTTTCTTTCCTCCCTTCTTCCTGTGAAAGTAATCACCAAGTAGAATTGTGAATATTATTGGTGATATTTGGATTAAGAGAAATATAGTGAAATGATTTTAGTATCATTCCAAATATACAAAGAGGAAAATGAAAGCAGTCAAACCATTTCAATCTTCTGAATAATGTTTGATGTATTCAAATAAACCAATTAAGTCAGCTGTTCAAGATGACGGTCGAATCATTCTTAAGGCAGTATCTAAAACAGCAGACAAACACAGAGACCGTGAATAAACAACCAAATCAAAAGGCTAAACACAGATAACCGGTTCATTGTTTTATTCATGTCAGAATGGAAAGATTATATTGAAGTTTGAGGCAGGGATCATAATAAAATTTAATGTTGCATGTACTGCACAAGCTTCAGCACGGAATTAAAAATTTCAGTCATTTGTAAAGTCAAACAGCATAAGTAAATAAAATGAGTGGAAAATCAATGAATCATTTGCACTTTCAATACTACGGATGAGAATCCCAGCAAACAGAATGGCGAAAACCAAACAACATCAACAAATTATAACTGTTGTTGATATGATAACATCACATCTGAACGTCCATAAATTCATTTCATTTTGTGTAGAGTAGAGTAGTTCATTCAAGACTTACCCCTTTTTTCCCTTTTTCCCCTTCCCCTTTTTTCCTTTCTTGGGCATTTTGATTTTATTGTATCACAGATCACATTTAGAATATACAATCAGCCCCGCAAGGAGAAGGCCTAACTAGAGATGATTGATGGCGTTTCAGTTCAACGCCATTTTCTCTGCGTTGCTATGCTAAATAAAGCTCGAGATTTTATTGGATAGGAATGAAAGACTAGTTTTAATTCCATATATCGATAATATTTTGTTTTGGATGCAATTTATTAAAATAGCTATGTTATAGGTCTATTTTAGTTTTTAAAATTCATATGATTCAATGTTATTTTAGTGTCTTATATTTTAGTATAAACTGTCCAATCCTACTTAATGTCCCAAATTTAAAAAGTGTTCTTTGCTCTGCCATTTTGTTTCGTAGTGAAACAATTTAAAATTTCCACTCCCCTTGTCAGATCATGAAACATGACTGTTAATACTGTTATGCACTGCATTATTCTTGCCAAGTTTGTGGTTTTTGTTCTTTTCTTGTTTGTTTGTGTTGTTCTATGTTACTTTTGCTGCAGCTGCTTTTGTCGTCATCGTGCGTTTTCTGCTGTGATATTAGTCTATTTAGATTGACCCTGATTTAGATATTATTGCTGGTGGCAAGCTACGTTCTCGGCGTCCTGAAAGTGTTTGCAGGTGCTGTTGAGCTGAGGCTACGTTCACGGCACTTTCTAGCCTAAAAACAAAGTAAAGTTACTTTAACCTTAGATCTAGATTTAGATCTAGATCTAGTTTAGGTATAAATTTATAAAGGCAAGGCAAGGAAAAAGGGGGAGGGTCCACTGCCTGTTTAAGTCAGCCGGTTTTAGTCAGTGACGACAGTGACGTAGGGCCTGTATTTAATATTTTTGCCAGCTTCGTGTTCTTTCCCATGAGATGAAGGAAATCGAAGTAGTGATCCTTGACCGATGGACCATTCGTCGTTTTCCCTTACACTGAGCTCTAGCCAGTGTAAGGGAAAACGACGAACTCTCAATTTCAATTACGCAACAACACATTAGGATATAAGAAATCTAGATCTATAACAAAAATACTCCTACCGACCAAGATGTTTCTATTGAATTGCCCTATCTCGCGTCCGGGCAAGACTTAGGCGCGTCCTTGTGTTAGTGTGTAACGGCCTGAGAGTGTTCCAGCGCTCTCGAGTTGAAAGCGTGCAACTTTGTCTTCGGGCAGTGTGCATGTGTGTGTGTGTTTGAGAGAGAGAGAGAGAGAGAGAGAACGTAGCCTACCGACTATGTTCACGGCGCCATGAATGTAACCGCTGCGTATTATTGAATTTAAAACTCTGTCTATGTTCATGATGTCTATGAAGATTGAAGATGTTTGTGGCAAATAATATCATATGATGTACGGTGTCGTCATACCTCCTCACCTACTTGAAGCTGAACAGGTGAAGGAAGAATTGCTGGAATGATAGGCCTCGTGTACCTGTACTTCAATCATCAGTGATTTTATAATGTTGGATTGTCTGTGTATCAGAATTATGGGGTAGAAGCTGAGAGAAGTTTTAAAGTAACAGGAGGAATTCCGTTAGGACCGACCACTGTAAAACAGAGTAGAATAGAGGGTTAGAGTTGGGGAAACATGCGACTAAACATAGAACGACGCAAATTATTTTTAGGTAAGGCGGCCTTCTCGTGTGATATCAGACCGGGATACTCCTCCGTTCACGTGACTACATGAACTAAACATAGCCAACGGCATGGCACCAAAGATCGTATATATACCCACCATGGCCCATGACATTCGGTTCGATGTTTTTCCAAGAGACGTACCGGTAATGTGATAGGATGCAGTGCTCCGATGATGCTGCTGCTTATCTCTTCTGCGCATTGTTTATCGGGCCCGGGGGGGGGTTATCTTCGGACGTCTTTACCGCAATTTTAGCGCGCTTTATTGTCTTTGCGTTTACTGTGTTTCAATTTCAAGCAGCAGTGTTCTTACTGTTCTGAGCATCAACATTCTAGATGCGATCTTCCATCACCAGAGCATGGTTGACGTGCTGCCGTTAGCTGCAATTGTGAAATTTTAGCGTGCGAAACACATAGATACCGATAATAGGTTAAGCCACTGACTCAGCATGTCGTTCCGTGCAGTAGCTCCAAAGATCGTGTGTTTAGTGTAGTAGAGAATCTTTGGTATCTCCACGGACTTCTAAAAATAGTCTGTGGGTATCCCAGGATGTGTTGACATCACATTACTAAAATAACCGCCAATCAGGTAGATGCGTCATTCTACGTTTAGCCGCATGTGTTGGGGAAGTAGATACTAGCTATAGCTATTTATATATATGTATAGGGTTTGGTGTAGGGGTAAGGGCAGGGTTTGTGTCAGGGTCAGGGTTAGATCTCTTCTTTATTGTGTTTGTTGGGTTGGTCGCTTGTTACGGAAGTCCTTCCATTTACACCCTCTTGAAAAAGATTAGAATCTAGATGATATACTAGGTCTTGCTTGAAGAGATGAATTTATTGAGATTACTGAGAATCTAAGACTAGGACTATATTTTTGGGACATTTGGGTGAAGACAGTTATTTAAGATGTACTGTAGCCAGTGTGGGGTGTTGCTATCAGAGCAAAGCTTTTAACACAGTTCGAGCAGGTTGGTTTTGAATCTTTTTGCTCTGTTATATTTTATCATCATGCTTGTCATTATGTTTTTGGAAGATATTCTAATCTCTCTCAATCTGTCTTTAAAAGAGTGAAAGGCAAGGGCTGTCCACCCAATCCAGCAGGCTGAAGAGAAAAGAGGAACATGGCGGATGTCTTTACCCCTGAATTTAAAAGACTGAAAGCCAAGCATCCTCCACCTGACCACGCCAATGTTTTAGACTTGACTAAACAGCTGGGACAGGAGGAACTTGTGGAAAAGTATGGGGTAAGTTTGTTATACTACACTCGTAAATTCTTGTTCAGAGGTTGTTGCCCATTAATTTGAAATAACCTTCTCAGAGACGTTCAATTACTGGTGCACTTGTCATTTTGCTAAGACTCGAGAAACTGACCTACTGAGACCTTTATTCTGCAAGAAGTTGGTGCTCCATATCCCTCCCCCCCCTTCCCCATTTTCTAGTGTTATCATTTTGTTATGCTCCTTACTTTTACGTAAATGATCTAGTGACTGTTTCTTTTTATCCCATTCATGATGGTGTTGTTTACAATTTAAAAATTATTGTTTTTACCTGACAGGGAGCAGTCATTGAAGCAGACATTCAAGCACCTCATGAAGTGCTGCCTCTAGTAGGACTAAAGCCATGTGAAAGTTGGAAGGCCTATAAATTCAGAGATTTTTCTGGTAAGTAAATTATGCTCATAGCTTTCAGATATTGCTTATAGTATCTTTCCTATATTGTGCTATCTATGTAGTGCACTTGATGCCAGTTTGTATGCTGAATAAGTAAAGTTAGTTTTTTTGCTCTATATTGACTCATATATTGCAGTGGATGGAAAATGACTGTGTATTGGAAATAGTCAGTGAATGCTTACAGAGAAATATTGAGGTCTTAGGGTGTGTGAGAGTAAAGTGAAAATCAAGAACATCAAATATCTTGCACGTGGGCTTACTTGCTCATCATCTCATCTCTTTTTTTTTTATGGAAAGGGCATTAAATAATCTTCTCCAGTGTTAATTGTTCCCCATCTTACCGGATATCAGTTCATTTAATGGATTGTGGTCTTCTCAAAATGGCAGTTAGGATGAAGCATCATAGACTGAAACAGAGTTTTTCCTAACATAAATTACTTGGAAGCAAAATGTTTTGAGGGAAGTCTGGAAGGAACAATTGAAGGATTGGCTCAGGACTCGCACTGCTTTGAAATTTGATTCGCGGTCTTTATATTCATCTATATCGCAGACATTGTAATATGAAGACAACATATACTGAATACCTACAACAGTCTATGACTACTGCTAAAATCATTTTTGTTTATTAAATTCAAATGTATTTGGGGTTTGTTTTTTTTGTATTAAAAGTAAAGTTTAGATCAACAGTAATAACATTTTTAAAAACTAAACATGCAGGTAAATGCTTTGTAGACCTTTGATAAGAAGATGTGTTATTCACTTTGTTGTTGCATCTGTGTTTATGCTGGGTTGATGTCTTTAACAGTTTGAGCCCCTTTGTCTCTTTTGTTTTTAGAGAAGATTACCACTCAGGCTTTTAAAAGTTTTTTCTTTTTTGCGCTGTATCTTTTAAAAAAGTTAACAGACCTTGATTGAGAGTTAGTTTTTTGTCTTTTACTTTTACAATTTAATTGTTCTTGGCTTTCTGTACTTTCAGGTTTCATCTTAATCTTAAACCCATTTATCGATGGGTTTCAAAGGTACTGGGTTGCCAGGTGTCTCAGGGATTTGCCCCGCAATCCAGAAAATGTCACTAACTTGTCTGCCCTTGGTGGACAGAGAGGGGAGGATCTATGGTCTGAATTTGCACAGAAAAGCTGGTAAGTTTTAATTAGATTGCATACTCTGATTTGTGTACGTTGATTTCCTTTTTGTTCCTATATGTTCTTTTGTCAGATTACAGGTGTATGTATTTCAAAGAATTGTTGTACATTGAAAGCTGGTGTGCATGAAATCTGTCACTGTGTTAACTTTCGGATTTATAAATCTTATTATGAAACGTCTTTGAGAAGCCTGGGAGTGGGTGCTATAGAAGTAATGTGTATTATTTTTATGATTATTTCTCTTTTGTAGATATTCTAGCTAACGGCAATGAATGAATGAATTTTGCATAGCTCTTCTGTGAGGAATATATTTCAACAAGTGTCAGAAACGTGATGTTGCCACTTGTCTTTGGTGTTCTAGTGATGTCCTTAAATCTTATCAGATGTTTGTAACTCCTTTCCGTCTCCACCTCATTGTTCTTTTTGTTTGATCAATGCTTGACCTTAGAGTTGGTTGGCCGGTGCTCTGGTGTGGTTTGCTTCTTCTTTCCTATCAAACATCTATCGTCTTCATCTCCCCTCCTTTTTTGTGTTGGTTACGCTCTTGTAACGCCTTTAATCTTTGGCACTTATATGACCTTGTTGTGTTGCAAGTGCCGTAAAACATTTACTAAAGCATGACCTCTATCTGTTGTTTGCATGAGGTACTCTTTCTCGTAGTTAAATAAAGTAATATAAGTATAAGAATAGTTTTTTAAAATGTGCTTACTTTTAGTTATTTTAGTGCTCCAAACATTATCAAGAGGCTATGAAATTCAAATGGAGAAAGTTATATCTTTCAATATTGAACCCAGTTTGTTTCTGATGTTTTATTTTGGGGGTAATGTACATTTGCATACAAAAAGATATAACTGTCTTTCAAGTCATGTAAACTACATGAGGAGTCCGTAGGAAAAACGGGCAGTCACAAACTGGAATTTGTGAGTGTCAATTCTGAAAGCTTGTGGACTCCTATCTTCATTTTGTTTGATTGTTGGTTTTTTTTGTAATGTTTGTTGAATGGGAAATCTAACAACAGTAATCAACCAACAGTTGAACAGAAATACAGTTATGAGTCAACAAGCGTTCAAAATTGACACCCTCACAATATATATTCAGTGTGTGACTATTTCTGTTTTTCTCGTGGACTCCTCGCCTGTCCTGTCTTGTCCTGTCCTGGGCAACAGTGTCATTGCACACCGGACATGTCCATAAGTGCTCAGTTCCCCCCAGCACCAAAGCCCACAAGGTGTCCATACTGATTGTTCCGGTGGCTGTCTAATTATGGCGACGTCTTTCCTTTCCAGATAATCGTTCCTTTCTTCCTTCTCCCCTCTCTATCCCCATTTCCCGCATCCTAATGATTGCGTGGTGTTCTGCTGTCTCCCTGTCTTCTTCATCCCGCAACTTTTTCTCCAGGGTCTTCAACACTTCTCCTTTGTCAAATTTCTCCTCACCATCAACCACGGCACTGCCTGCCAGCCTAGGACTCCTCACATGTTATTATAGTATTTTTTTTATCTACAGAAGTATTTGAGAAAATCTGGTAAGTACATTTTGAACTGATTTTTTTTTCTCTTTTTTGTCCAGCTCTACATTAACAAAGCAAGATCCCCTGAGGAAACTCAGATGGACAACACTGGGGTATCACTACAACTGGACCACCAAAGTATGTATATTTGGAGGTTTTTACTGTGGAGATAATAAACTCTCTGCTTCTATATGTGATTGTGTATGTAAATGCTCTGGATAATAATTAATAGAGATTTCAGTGTATAGTTGGCGGTAAACATAGGAGGGGCCCTTGTGGGGTGTTTTTTGTTGCTGTTGTTTGGAGTCATTACTGCTTTGTAAAGTAAATAATCTTTTGTTGAATAAAAATTTTATTTCCCTAGTTTTTGTATTCAGTGTGTTATTGAAACTTCTTTTCTTTTATAATTTCAGAATTAAAAGTTCCTTGTAAAACCCAAAATGTTCACAACTGTTAGTTACCATATTTAGCTGAAAATGGAAAGGACGATTTATTGGTGTGGTTTGCTCCTTCTTTCCTTTCAAGCATCTATCGTCCTGATTTCTCCTACTTATTTTTTGTGTTTGTTACTCTCTTGTAACACTTTTAATTGTGTTGCAAGTGCCGTAAAACTCTATCTTAAAAAAAAAAGACTTTTTATTTTCATGCGACCTATTGACTTTTTTAGTTTCCAACCATAGTGAATGTCTGCTCACTATGTAGTTGATATTGTTTCATCTATCGATGAGCAAAGTGAGCTCTATCATCAAATCTGTCTGAAGTGGAATAGCAAGAGGGCTGAAAAGAAAGAGTTACTTCTGAAGAATTGGTCTTTAGTAAGTGTAGGGTTTATATCAAGTATTCAAGTTTTAGTAAGAATATTACTGCTCTTTCAGGTTCAATTGTTATATGACAAATACCATTTGATGAATCTAATAGGGATAAAAATTGTATAAATTACCTTTTCTTCCAGTTTATACCAGTGAGTTGTTATATTTCTTTCCTTTCCCAGGAGTACTCAGAGGCCAACAAAGCGGAGTTTCCCCCAGATGTTGCATGTTTGAGCCAGTACCTGGCACGGTGCATGGGATTTGGTCAGTACCGTCCAGAGGCTGCGATAGTCAACTACTATCACCTGGACTCCACCCTGGCTGGTCACACTGACCATTCGGAGCTTGACCAAGCGGCACCATTGTTTTCCATCAGGTACAGTCGCAGGAAAAAGAAGAGGAGAAAGAGATGAAATTTCAAATGTTTTAGCATACAGCGGAGTCCACTATAAAGACAAATTTGCATGATTGCCGAATTTTCTTGAGTTTAGCCCATTTTAGGTTTAGAGAGATTGCTCAAATAGTGGAGGGAAAAAAATCAGGGATTCCGTTTTCTTGCAGTTCACCACTGTTTTCAGGTTAACTGTCTTCAGTTTAAGTGGACTCCTGTGTATCTACCTGAATAGAGTTGATAAAGAAACGGTTTCCAGCTTGATTCAAACGAATCCAAAAGTGCTTCGTGGTACAGAAATAAGGATAGGTCTCACTTTTTTTCGCATCCAGTACTCATTGTAATTAGTATTTTTCATCTCTTAGTTGATGTTTGGTGGATAGTCATAATTGATGACGTTCAATTCCTTTGTGAAAGGATAGTTGATGGATGGGTTTGGCAGTCTGCTCCAGCTTATTTTACAAAGTTATTATAGAATAATACCTGGTTGTAACTGCACTGACCTGCTTTTATTTACAACTCTAGTCCAGTGTGTTTATGCTGGTCAGTGCTGTGCTGTATAACCATTAAGTTTGATCGAGATAAGTAGGGTTAAGGTCAATTTACATCAAGGCGAAATCTGATTTTAATGTTTGATGTGTCTGTCTTGTGGGGTTCACTCGGCTACTGACGTCATCATCATTGCCTTTCTCACCCTGCACCAGGGTATAGGCCACGGACAAACACCCTCCACTTTTCTCTATCCTGGGCTAGCCTCTTGATGTTATTCCATGTCTTCCCACTTTTCTGTACATCGATCTGTGATTCTTGTCCGCTGTCCTTCATTGTTCCTGCTGATACAGAAGCTCCTCCGTCTCCCAAGATCGAAGAATAGAAATCTGTGTTTGTCCATGTTTCTGTAAATAAAACACTTGAAAATTCCAAAAACACGTAGGTTGGTGCTAAGAAACATTCAGCCTCCCAAAAGTAGCAAAAGTGGGCACTGACTGTAAAAAGATTGACGAGGACTGAGGGGGAATGGGAAGTTTTCGAATTGAACAAATTGTTGACAAAGCAGATACCACTTGAAGTAATGTGTTAACTTCATGAATTCCATGCCGCAGTCTGATGTTTTGTGCATAAGGCTTTCTTGTGGCTTGTTTTTCCCTTTCAGTCCTTTAATTTTCAGACTTCAGTGAAAATTACATGGATGTGTGGAATTGTATCAGAAAGCACTAACTACCATTTTCTACACTTTCATAGTCCTCAGCATGACAAAGAAAATCAATTTGTATCACCTTCTTTCAGTGTAAAGGAGTAACTATTTTATTGATTTTTTCCCCATATTTTTGTGTCTTTTTCAGTTTTGGACAGTCAGCAATATTTATGTTGGGTGGAGCTGAGAAGTCGACACCGCCAATGTCTTTGATGCTCCACAGTGGAGACATCTGCATCATGAGCGGCTCCTCAAGACTTTCCTACCACGCCGTGCCAAAGATTCTAGCTCCCCCTGCTGAGCAGCCTGTTCCCAAATGTTTCTCTCTTCACCCTGAGGAAGAAAGTTTAGCCCCTCAAAGTTCAGAAACATGTGGAAGTCGCAACGCGGTGACGAAAGATGCACAAGAATTAGACAGTGAATCTGATGCAGCCTCAGGTTTTTCAACGACAGAGCAGCAGATTGGCAACTCTTGCAGCAATGACACATGTCTACGTGACTCTGTTGTGAAAGATGTCAATGAAAGTATCAAACACGTGATGTCTTCATTGGAGTTTAAACCCTTTGAAGTTTATATTACCTCATCCAGAATCAACCTAAACATTCGTCAGGTTCTGCCCCCTGGTTTCGACCAACTCCCCAAAAGATTAGCTGGTAGAGCTGATGGAAAAATGTGCAGTGGTGACAATTGTGAAGGGGCTGAGAACCAAAATACGTTTGTGACTAATCATGCTACATCATGTGTTGGTGAAGAACCTTATGGTGCTATGTCAGATCAGTGTTCTAAGAACGAAGCTGCTCATAAGGAAAATGTGTGTGCTGATGACACTCTGTGTGATGGACAGGTTTCCAAAAAGTTGAAAGCTGACCCTTCTTGACACAGGTCATTAATAAAGAATGTGTTGCAACTTGTTTTATATATATAACCAACATCTTTTGCCTCTTTTTATGTGCTTTTTGTTGTTTTATTTTACCTATTCTTTTTACTCTGGGTATCATGGCCTGTCAATAAATATTAAAATACAGTGGAATACACTGAAACTAAAATAGAGAAACTCATATAGAGAGTTTTTAGTTAATCAATTGCAAAACAAAGTCCAAGGTACAGTGGGGTCCGCTTGATCCGAAATCTGAAGGACCGCCAGATTTTCTACGGTTTAGATTAGTTGGGTTTTCAGTTGAGAGAGATTGCTCAAATAACAAAGAAAAAAATAGGGGATTCTTATTTTGTTTCGGTTTACCACTGTTTTTGTATTAACCATGTTCGGTTTAAGCAGACTCTGCTATACATTGCATTGTAGTAAGAGCCCTCCTGGTCAAGGGGTATGAGGTTTGCCCCTCAGTCAAACAGTCCCGGGATCGAAACCCTCCAGTACTGAAAAAAATGTTCTTCTCTATGATTTTTTTCCTCGTCTTCTTTTCCTGTGCTTCAGTCCTGTTCTGTCATCTGCTTTCACCTTCATCCCCACCCCACCGCCTCGTCTGTGCTCCCAGGGGCGGTTTGTTAACTGGGTCAGATTTTTTTCAGCTGGACTGTTGACAGGAGATTTATTGCTGATGATGATTTTCATTCAGTTTTAAGTAGATCCAAACAAACATGTATCAACATTCAAAAAGCACCTTGCCGATTTGAAGGCGCTCAAATAGAGAAGTGGGATTCACTGCTGTTTATTTGTCGCGACAGAGCCTCATTCTTTCACGTTTGTTATCGCGCCGGCTCGTAACTTCAAATCGTCTCCCCTCCCATCAAGCGGTCACTTCGCGGAACTTCGTAGGCTACTACTAGTACTACGTGCGAGACAAACACACGGCGGGCTGTGGCCTAGCGATGACGTCAGTCCCATGGACAAATCCATCGACAGCCCTGAGAAGGAATAGAGGCAAGGAGTTTAGAACTCAATTGCCAAATTGGCCTCTTTGTAGCTTACAAAATTAAGATTGAGACTATCTTGAGCAGCACAGACACATGTATTATTTTATCAGCAAAACATGTATTTATCATTCAGCCTTTCTCTAATTACTATCAGTACATTTATTGTTAGCATGGCACTAATCTTTTTTGTTGATTAACTTTCTAACCACCTATAGTTCCTGTTTGACATTTACTCATCGTTTTCTCCCCTCTAATAACTTACCTGGCCCATAGGAGTCTGGCCGGCGGAGGGAGGAATTGTCTAGTGAAGATATATAAGGAGAATTTTAACGAGGAGCGATAGGCACTCGGCTGTCAGAGTCTGGGCCAGGCCTACCCCCTCCCTTCCCTCCCCTTTTCCAACGTCACCCCAGCTAGACACCCAGTTCTATAATTAGCATTTGACACACTTCCCCACTTCGTTACAACACAGTGTTCTGTTCTGAGAAGTGAGAAGTGCGTTGAAGAAAAAAATTTGATGATATAATGATCGGAAACTGTTGTGTGCTAACTTTGTCCAGCTTTGTATACTATCTGATTGTAGACTTGATCTTCTTGGGACAGCGTCACTGGTACAGTATCAATTAACTTTTTGTCATCATACAGGACAGTTCTTATTGCATATATTTAACGGGTCCAGTGCACGTCGATATTTGGTGTGGGGTTGTAGAAAGTACGAGTTAAGTTACTGAAGGCCAGGACCAGCAGTTTATTGCCTCTCACTTTCAGTTTGTTTTCTGGCCTAGTAGTGTTTTTTTTTTCTGTGTCGATCAAGTCAGTTTCTATTAATCTCAGTAACTTCCGTCATACGTTATTCATAATATTGTTTCTTGACACTACCGCATATTCTAGCTCTTTCACCGTATATTACAATGTTTACAGTGGTGTGTGTGTGTGTGGGAGTGGGGGAGGGGGTGGGGATGGCGAAAGTATGGGTATAAAATAAGGAGAGAGAGAGAGAGAGAGAGAGAGAGAAAATGTGTGTGTGTGTGTGTGTGTGTGTGTTGTGAAGGAAAGGAATAGTCGACGTGAATGACGGCCGGTCAGTTCTATAAACCTCGAGCCGCTACTGTGTGCTCCTCTTTCCCTTTCTCCTGATTCTTTCCACTCCTATTGCTTCTCTTGGCTCCTTCTAAACTTACTGCTGTCTTTCGTCCAGACCCATGATCTAAGGATCGGCCAGGTCGAAAATCTAGCCTTCTCGGATAAGGGCGAAAAATCTGAGGTCCTGTGTTCAAGTTGCAGATCCCTTGGTGGTCATATAATCGACAAGAGCATGTCATGTTGTAGGCTATGGGCGTCACCCGGAGAAATAAAAATATTTTATTCAGCTTAAAATAATTGAGTAGCCTCGAAATCCAAACGTGGCTGTGTGGAGGCAAGGGGCCTACAAAAATAGAGAAGACCGTCACCACATACGTGCTACAATGTAATGTAATCATTTGCGCTGCCGGTAAAAAAACCCAGCAGTCGTCTACCCCTGAGATCTAGCCGGGGGAACGAAAAGAAGGCTCTGTAGTTCTTGAGTGGTTAATGGGTGCTCTGGTGTGGCTTGGTCCTTCTTTTCTATCCAAATGTCTTTTTCCTTTTCACTACTCTCTTGTAGCACCTCTAATCTTCGGCTCTTATTACTCTTACATACTTAGGCTATATTATGACCTAATCATGTTGGAAGTGCCGTAAAAACGCTTACAAAAAGACGAAATAGAAGCTCTGTAGTTCTGAACTTTCTGACGAATGCAGAGCTTGGTTGTGTCTTACTTTCTGCCTTCCGGCTCTTTATAAAGGTTATATTACAAATAGCGACCTCAAAGTAATCAAAGTTGAGGTTTCAGGTAAAATAATATAGGAAACTTTTCAATCCCCTTGACCCTGAGGAATACAGGTGTATAAAATCCGTCCCATGGTTCTCACGACCATAGTTATCTGATCTTGTGACAGACATTATGACACAGGCTGACTTTGTGAGATGTTTCTAAAGGGAGGAATAAATGGAACTTTGACCTGGCAGGAGGAGATCTGGTTATGGTCAAAGCCAAAGAGAGGAAGACGAGATTCTTAAAAAAATATTTTTTGCTAAAAAAAATTTTACTGAAAATTTTAGTTTGAGTTTTACGGCACTTTCAACACAACAAGGTCATATAAGTGCCGAAGATTAGTGGAGGTGTTACAAGAGAGTAACATTACTCTGAGAAGAAGTAGGAGGGATCACGATGCTAGATGTTTGATAGGAAAGAAGGAGCAAACCACACCAGAGCACCTGCCAACCACCCTCGGACGAGATTTTATAGTTCAGTCATCATCATCATCCAAACAATTTCCATTTTCCACGTTTTGTGTTCACCGGCGTCTGTGGTTGGGCGCTTCCTTGTGGCATGTAGGAGACGCGCGTTCGATTCCTGCATGAGTAGGGAGAAAAATTTATCGAGAATCTCAGTCTTTCTTCTTGTTGGAGGGTAGTACAGTGGAGTCCACTTATAACGAGTCCTGAAACAACGAAAAGTCTGTTATAAAGACATCATACTAAAACCCCGTTTTTCCCCTTCTTTATCTTTGTAAATAAAATACTGCTATAGCGCAATCACATAAATGCGCGAGTCGGTTATAGCGGAATATTGCTGCTCCTGTGCACAGCGCATAGGCCATTGAAACATGAAAACCTCGCCAGTTGAGAAACTTGTTGGTTATCAAGCGAAACAAGGAATGGGAGAGCCCATGTGTGCCAACGATGAAGGCCGGAGCGAATGAGTGGGGAGTGTGTGGCACGCACAGACACACCGTTGTGAAGCAGAACGCATTGCTTGATAACCAGGCTTTCTCAGTCCTGATAATAATAGGCCAGCCTAGTCTAGATTATCTAGGTCTAGATATCTATCATGCCTCTCACTTCTCCGATGCGGGGAAGGAGAGGTCACAGTGCTGTGATGGAGAGGTCACAGTGCTGTGATGGAGAGGTCACAGTGCTGTGATGGAGAGGTCACAGTGCTGTGATGGAGAGGTCACAGTGCTGTGATGGAGAGGTCACAGTGCTGTGATGGAGAGGTCACAGTCCTGTGATGGAGAGGTCACAGTCCTGTGATGGAGAGGTCACAGTGCTGTGATTGAGAGGTCACAGTGCTGTGATGGATCATGGAGCGAATGTGAGACGGGCGCAAGCAGACGCGGGAACGCACCACAGGGTGTGGTGGGGGGGGGGGGGGGGGACACAGCGGGCGAGTTAGCCTAGAGAACTTTCGTTCTGATCACCAACGTCGAGCTGTCAACATCGCTAACGCTAGAGAAGGAAACCTGAATCAATTTGTGATCAAGAAAGACCTAGAGGTCATGTTGAACCAAGCCACCATCGGAGGAGATGACAAAAAGAAATAAACAGAACACCAAACTCATAGATTAGGCCTACTTTATTATTTCCTTTGAATTTATTACTGGATCCCTTACAACGAGAATCCTGCTATAACGGACATTTCGTACCGGTCCCCTCCCTCTCGTTATAACAGGATTCCACTGTAGTAGATCTAATAGCCCATCGCCGAGTGGTCTAGATGCTATTCTGTCGATGGGGGCGTTTAACGGCTACATTTAATTATAGAAAAATTGTGTTCTCTTGTTGCTCAGCTGTTATTGGTGTTATGCTCTCTCTCTCTCTCTCTCTCTCTCTCTCTCTCTCTCTCTCTCTCTCTCTCTCTCTCCCTCTCTCCCTCTCTCCCTCTCTCCCTCTCTCCCCCTCTCCTTCTCTCTCTCTCTCTCTCTCTCTCTCTCTCTCTCTCTCTATGATATATAATTATATATATATGTATGTATATGTATATATTTTACATATATTACACACATAACTTATGTAATAACATATTTTATTACACACACACACACACACACACACACACACACACACACACACACACACACACACACACACACACACACACACCCCGTGGGTGGTTGGCGGGTGCTCTGGTGTGGTTTGCTCCTTCTTTCCTATCAAATATATATCATCCTTATCTCCCCTTCTTCTTTT